GTAAATATTATTCTTGGTGATTGATTGTGGCTAACGACAAGTATATACTGTAAATAAGAACATTAATTTCTTTGTTCGGTTTTTTGTCTGTGCAGTAGCGCAATTAAGTATCTTGAGATATGTGAGGATTAGAGTTTGCACCTGTCATATATATTACTCAATGCCATTTTGAGAAAACATGCAACGCAATTTGTCTCTCGTATTTTCAGCCTGTGCAATCAACCCACTGGGTTCCTGTGGACCCAGATAGGTGGGGGGTGGGCTCCATAAACCTGAATTTGGCAACCCCAGCGAGGGCTGGGAGTGTCCATGACACGGTGAGGAAAATCCCTGAGATTCTGAAAAGGCTGATTACTGCGATTTCATTCGCAGCTGTCAGAAGCTGGCATTCAGCGGACACGATGAGAGTGAAAACTCTGACAACAAAGGAAACCGAAGGAGTTTACAGGCGTGCTTTACCGGGATGACAATATTCTTTTTGGGCGCTGTGTTTTTGTTGCTCATGTAATGTAGAGCAAAACAATAATTACTTTGATGAATGCACTGCATTAATTTTACTTGTACTGTATTTCTATAATGATTGTATCTCAGGTCCATACATACATGGGTATTTTTAAAAATAATTTTGCAGAGGATCCTCACTTCACAAGGCAGATTCCTGGCATTCCTGGGAATTACCTCACCCTACCCACTCATCCTTTCCTCCATTTTATCATGTCAGCCGCAGCAGGAAACTCCCTACTGAATGTGCAGGAAATCACTTGACTTGATGGAGGGAGGTAAGTGTGGAGCAAGAGGGAGACAAGAAAGTGGGTTTGACCTGGTCACAGAGACACAAAACATCAGACAGGTAGAGAGGCAATGCGGTAAAACCCAACCGCTATCAAGAAAACTCAAATTAATGAGCAATTCAGAACAGACAAGTAACGTTTTAAAGAATCCATCCATCCACTGATAACCTGGAAAGAGTGATGGGGAGGGACTGCAGGCTGCCAGGCAGCAGAGGGACACAGGGAGAACATGCATACTCCACACAGATACAGCAGAGGGTACCAGAGTACCCAGAGGATTTCCTGACACAGGATTTCTTTTGGCTTTATCTTTTGCCCTGAATCATTTGTAATAGCTGTTGTTTCAATATCAATTAACAGAGGTTCTGTATCATACCAAATTTCAACTGTACAGCTTTTATTATTTAAAACCGCGCTCTAAACACTGTCTGGAGGAAAAATGATTTAGGTTGCCAAGATAAGAGATTTGGGCTTTTTACAACATCACTTCTAACTCACCAAATTTAATTTCTCTAAATTGATAAGACAGATGGTGCAGAGATATGTGGAGTTTTCGTCTTGCCCTGCAGAAAAAATCCAAGAAAAATATGCCAAATATAAAGCTTATGAAATGTGAACAATATCACAGAGCACAGTCGGTCAAGCAGGCGGCTCCATTACTTCTTTCTAAACCACACTCTGGCCTTATTAATTGATTTGATGTCACAAAGGCTGATTAAGCTGCCTAGCAAGGCCATCTGACCTATTGTTTTGTTTCTCTAATTTCTAGACAGACTTATTAACTATTAAAATCTGATATGATCCAGTCTTGTTTTATATAAACAGCCCAAAATATTCAGAGATTCCCTGTCAATTTCCATGTGTGTTTCCAGCAATGACCGACTACATATGCAATTCAGGTTATACAAACATACTCTGTTCGATCTCCTGACTTCTGGGCAAATTGCGCTGCTTTTGGTGCCTAGTTGATGTGCCCCCCCCCCCCCCCCCTTATTTTACCAGTTGACACGTGCTGGTGGATATTCAGATGGTGGCCGGTACTGCAGCGGGTGTCCTCATGGGACAGGAACCAGCAGGCCCATATGCTAACCAGCACACGGTGTTCTGTTGTCATGCTGGAGCAGGCGGTGCCCGGGCTATCACGGAGGGAGGCCCTGCAGGGGGCGTGTTCACGCATCCGGGGCGTTGCCCTTCTGCCCCTCAGAGGTGAACAGTGCAGGTCCAGAAAGTATAAATCCGGACCAAGGTTTTGTTTCAACCAACCAGTAGAGTACGCTGTGACTCTTTGGCTCCGTCTGAATTCAGGGACTGTACCCTTCTAAGGCTGCACTGGAAGACCGAATGTGTCACAGCAGTGTGACAAGGCTGTCCCATTTTAAAGGCTCTTTGAAACGCAGCCTAGGTAAGCGTCCTTCTTTTCCTGCTCCGTGAAGGATGCACCCGATGGATCCTTCACAGCCCAGCATATCCTAAGATTCATTGCACAGAGGTAAAGGCAATCGGAGCGGTGCTTCGTGACCCAAGCGTAAGGGCGGGAACAGCTGGTGACGCAAATAGGAAATGATCTGTCGGCCAGACCGTCCCATTCCACGATGCTTCCTGAATGACCATCGCAGAGCACAGGATACACTTTCATAGACCGCGTCCTTCGAAGGATGCTACCCCTGAATTCAGACACAGCCTTTATGCTTGGCTGGAAGAAAATCTCTGTCTGGATTTTTAACTTCCGGACCTGAACTATCCACCCCTGCAGCCCCTTCTAACACATGAAAGTCCCTCCGCGGCTGACACTGCACCACTGACACTGCACCACTGACACTGCGCCACTCTTCATAACCTTTTTTACACTTCTGCTTTTTTTCCTTTTCTTTTCTTTCCTTTTCTTCCTTTCACAATAACAGCCCTGTCAACAGAAATGTGACTTACTCATCAAGTGCCAGGTGGTTCTCCAAGTGCAGTGATTTGCCACAGTCAGAGAAATGCTTAGAATCAATCATCAGGACCACAGAGGGAAGTGCAAGATTTGTATGAGAGATTTTTGACCGGGGGCTGAAGGATCACACTGGCATGCAGTCCAAATCATACATGTTCCCAAAGATTAAGAAGGGTTACGATTAAACTTAAAGGTGAAATGTTTCATAAAAGTATTCTATAGTATAAACACCTTTTAAGTGATAAGGAGATCAGGAAAGTCCTCTGTTGCCTCCTGCCGTGAAACGTTAATTGTGTTTTCCAGTCTAAAAAAAAGTGTGCACCTCTGCTGCCATCTAGTGGACAAACTAGTGTCTAAATAGCACGTATAGAGTGAGCATCTCAGGCAGGGGAATCACTTACTTGGTGCCCTTTGCTGCTCGGGACGGGCTCCAGGCTCATTGCCTGCCGTGCATTATTTATGTGGTTATAACAGACAAATGAAATCAAAAACGGGCTCAAACAAAGCCTATGTACAGGTCCAGTGGGTGGTTGATAATGTGGTGTATATCAAACATCCAACTGACTGCCAACAATTCATTCAGAGCCTATCCCAGGAAGGGGACATTCTAGATGGGATTCCAATCCGATGCAGGACATATTACACACGTCCATATTTACACTCATCCATAGTTAGGCATGTCAATAGTTACACGTGTCCATAGCTTGACATATCTGTATTTGTAGTAGTAGTATTGATGGTAAGATCATGCCCCATCAATATCGTGGGAGTGTCTGTTTAGGGGGGTAGGGGAAACCAAACCTAATCCCTTGGACACGCCCCTGGGGGGTGCCATTTAACAGAATGATCATCCCGCTCCCAGCATGGAACACCACAAAACCTGCCTCCTCCCGGGTCTCTCTGGTGAGGCGTGCACAGCAGCCCACCCAAGGCAGCTCCAAAATACTGTGCAAAATGCACCCTCTACACAGCACCCTTTACACAGCACCCTCTATAGAGCACCCTCTGCACAGCACCCTCTGCACAGCACCCTGCACAGCACCCTCTACACAGCACCCTCTATAGAGCACCCTCTGCACAGCACCCTCTGCACAGCACCCTCTACACAGCACCCTCTGCACAGCACCCTCTGCACAGCACCCTCTGCACAGCACCCTCTGCACAGCACCTGCATGGCAGTGGGCACATTCTCAAGGCCCCGCCCCCTTGGCTCCAGACGTTATTTTCATCCTCTTCCCAAAAATTCATCTCCCTCCTAATGGGCCATTCAGTTCCCAGCTACAGGGCACTACAGGCCACAGGTGTCGACAGATCATTGAGTGTAACCCACAGCCTGCTATGCTGTAAAGGCACGTCTTCCAAACACACCAAGTCCCAGCCACATGACCTGCTGACTGCGGCCAGGAGCTCCCCTCTAATGCCACCCCAGCTGGCCAATCACACTGCCGGCTTGCCAGGACCCTGCAGGCTGCCGGTCACCAGCAGAGAGACCTGCCCCGCCTCCCAGAATGGTGCCAATCAGGGCTGAAGGGGGCTGTGAAAGCAAATGAAGGCATGGAAGGTGGATTACAGGAAGCGAGGAAATGTGGCCGAACACAGGAAGAAATACGAAATGCTCAGTTTTATATTCAATTTTGCGTTATTATTGTCATCTAATATTGAATGTTAATTTCACTCTATTTCTTCTTTATTCCATACATACAAGTACGACTTGGAACATAACACAGGCAATGTTGCGTCGCTTAGCAACAGACTGGAGGCTGTTATGATGGTGTCACTAAAACTGGCAAACAAGCTTCCCGCCTACTCTAAGGTTGCAGCCAAGTTGTACATTGAAACCAGCCTGTTTAACTTACTGTTAACCCACAACCTAGTGAAGCCAATGGCTGTGATCTCAGCACACCTTACAGACTGTATGTGGGGCGGTAAGCGTGGTCTCTCTGATGACCGGCGAATTTTACTGATACCAATGTTATGCCATATATTCCATCTATTTTAATGATATTTATAATCAGCTTGTGAGTTAGGTAACACGTATTTTAGATGAATACTTTTGCATGTATTTGAGTAATAATGTTTCATCGCAACAGTACTTCCATGGTAATAATATAACTGCCAATGTCATACTTGCAATGTTTCGCAGTTACCCTACGATTGTTGTATGTGATGAATTGTGGTTATACGCCTCGAAGATTCACTATGCTTTTGGGTGTAGTTACAGGCATATTGGAATCCGCGAAGGAGGGTGAGGTTCATTTCCTGTCTGATTTTTTTCGCTATTGGTTCCCTTTTGATGACGTCTTATTTCAGCGTCCAAGTGTTATGAAATGCTAGAAAGCAGGGGTAGATATCAGTACGATATTTAGTTATTTGTACAGCTGATCTGTTTTAACCCAGTAAACAAACACGTCTCAGAGTGATATATACATTTGAGAACTTCGTAAAATTAGCAGCTTGTTGCCAACTGCAGTCAGTCATGTCTGTGCATTTCGAGGAAAGGAGCGGCGTCGTGCCCTGTAAGACCCTGTGGGGATCTTGGTATCAGACTATGGAGGAAGTTTTTATAGAGGTAAACGTACCTTCGGGAACTTCGGCCAAAGAAATCAAGTGTAATCTCGGAAGCAGCCAGATCGAGCTATGTGCGAAAGGAAAGGAGATCATTAAGGTAGGAGTGAACACCGGTTTAGCATATCACCGCACTGCTGGTCCGATCTGTCATGATGTGAGCAGTCAGGTCCCTCGGCTGGACCATCCTGGGTGTTTTTGCTGTCTTGCTGAGGACCATGCAGCCGATGCAGTGATGAGAGCCGCGTGGGTCGTGCTGCTTTAGTGACCCATGCTATCTGCCCGTCGGTGCTCTGGTTTGCTCTCCGTTTCTGGTGATGGCGATAGGACAGTAATGGTACTGCATTGCATAAATAACATCGGTTTTCAAAATCGTCTTTTGCTTCTTAATGTTAATCTAGTGTAAGTAATACATGGGGGACATTAAGGTCAAATGCATCTGCCCCCCTAACAGAGCAACTGGCCCCAGTCTGCCCCCCCAAATGAACAGGTCATGAAAAGGCCACTGTAATTTTTTATTTTTATTTTTGTTATAAGAAAAAGTTGTGATATCCCCTTGTAAGCTATGTAATCCACCCTTCAAAAAAAAGAATCACTGACTGCTCTTTTTACGTAATATATACCTGCAGTTTGCACCTTGTTATATATCCTAGCACAGTCACTCTCGCTGTACTTACAGTCTGTACTTTATGCCTCGGACCACCTCATGTATATTTTGCATACAACCATAATTTACACTTGTATATTTATTTGTATATTGTATATTTTATTTGTACCTGGTTAGATGCTAACAGCGTATCATTTGCTCTGTACCTGTACTCAGGACAATGACAATAAAGTTGAATCTAATATAATCTGATTTCCAGGGAAAGCTGTTCGGTACGACTGTGTCGGATGAGGCAACGTGGACTCTAGGTGAGATTGTTATTCTTGAAAACCAGCAGCTGATGAAGAATGACTGCTCAATGTTATCAGTAAGCTTGGATACATATTTCGAATTTTAAAGCTTTTTGAGGGTGTTTTTTGTAGATTAATTTATTTTTACAAAAAACAGCTGTAATTTCGGTTGATTTTTGTCCAGCAAAGCACCAACTTGGGCAGTAAATAAAAACGCTCATGTTTTGCTTTTTGGCATGTGAATGGCGAGTAGTTTACCAAAATATGCAGCTCAGGTTTTACTGTCATCTAGACTCCTTTGTTTGGCACCTGTACATGGTGGGTGTAAATTAGAAAATGATAGGGGGCTGATTTGAAAATACTTTAAAAGATTTTTTCTTTTAAAAGTAAACAGTGATTGAAAAAGACAGCAGATGTGGTCACGAGTAATACTTAGTAATACTAAGAGTCTTACTCTATGTGTATAATAAACTTTTCTATGTATGTAATAAACTTTGTTACTCATGGATCTAAAAAACTTGGCATTGTGACATCTGGGACATATTATACTTGAATATAGGATACATGTTAACGTGACAGCGTTACGGTAACATGGATCATGGACTCGGTCGATGACTGCAGCTTAACCCTCATGCTGTCTGTCCAACCAGAGGACGGCAAGCTAATTCGCATCATTCTAATGAAGACGAACCGGGAGGCAGGAAATTGCTGGCTGTCACTCTTGGAGGGCCAGTATTGTGCCGACCCGTGGGTCCAGGACCAGATGCAGAGGAAACTAACTCTGGAGAGATTCCAGAGAGAGGTATAAAGGCAGAAGTTGTACCCTTGGTTGAGTATGTTTGTCTGTTCCTGTGGATCATGGGTAGGAATGAGGTGTTTACATGACACCCCTGGGAGTGATGGGCAACGAAACATGGCAGTCTGTAGCCTGGGGGCTGTGCACTGCTACCACTGCCATCAGCTGGTTTCGGGACCAGGGTGTGGGAGTCATGGTTTGTGAATTTTTGTAGTGACTTACTACTGTGCGTTTACAGAATCCTGGATTTGACTTCAGTGGTGCAGAAATTTCAGGAAATTTTGCTGGTGGTGGACCAGATTTTTCAAACTTGAAATGAGACATTTACAGGTGACCCCCCCCCAATGGCAAAAGATGAAAACCACAGACTTCCATTACTTCCCTGACCAGTGGAGGACCTCGCAGTGTGAAATTTGGTTGGACGAGTTCTCTGGAGCTGGGAGCACGACACGAGAAGGGGTCAATGTTAGTTCAGTTCTGGGAACTGGCAAAGCGTTGTGACACCGACATAATAAAGACTGCTTGTGATTAAATAGGTTTACCGTCTGATCTGATGAGTTTCATTGTGGAAAAATTAAGTGAAGCATGGTTGTCCATATAACCATAAGCATATAACCAGTTTTCACAACAGCAAAGGATGGATGAGACCAGTAACTGCATTTCAATAATGTTTTATTGAAAGGTATAAACTTGTCACATTCTGGCACTCTGGAACATCACACGTACGGTTTGCCCTTCAGGGAGCTCTTAAAGACCGGGTGTGTTCACATGCATTATGAAGTACTACTGGCATCCTTTAGTTTGGCTGGAGGAAATATTTCTGCATTTAGGGAAAATTCACATCCAGATAAAGTTCAATCTATAGTCAGTTAAGGAGAATCCAACTGAAATTCAGAGACACGTCAATAAAGTGCGGTCAAAATGTCCGAAAAGACACATATTGACAACCAACTGTAGCTCTTAATTTCACTGCACTTCATTTCACAGGTCCAGGATACATTTCCTGGAAACTGGAGATAACTTAGTATGTTTATGCAGCCGGCATGTTTAAAAAACAAAAAAAAACAAAAAAAAACACCTTGGGTAAGAGTGTGCACTAGGATAGTTCACTACCTAGGGTGGAAGTTAAGGGTTTTGGGCCCGATTTCTTGGTTCCATTTTGTATATCACAAAACCCTTCTCCCTCCTCTTCCACATGGTGGACTGAGGACCTAGGTGGTACAATACTTCACTGCTCAGAACCATCACCAGCGCCAAGACCGTCTAGAGGATCACGGCACCGATTCAACTGAGAACATACAAATGCAAGCATTAATCCGAGGTGGGTCTGAGGAAATAAAAATAAATTACTAGCTGAGAGCATCTCAGAGGTGCTGGGATCGGATGGGACACAGCGGGTACAGATGGGTGACCTGCCCGTGGGTCTCACACGATGGATTCCATAGAGAATGCTATGGGGAAAATGGCACTGTCCACTCTCTGGGCTGGGATGCGTCCAGGGGGTACTCTTCAGGACAGGAACCTAAACAGAATCAGTAATCAGACCATCTATTAGATAAGAGGACATCACGCACAGAGTGAGCGTTTAATGCGATATGGATTCTGAGGAGCCTGCCGACATGCCTGATTACCTAACAGGAAGCTTCTGGGATGGTGGGAAGATGGGCGATCTTGTAGTAGCTGTGTTTCAGCTGCCTTGCAGTCCTGCCTGAAATGATCCATCGCAGCTTCTGGTTGTTGGGTTTAAAGCGCTTGGTGGAGGAATACTCAGTCAGGCACTTGGCAACCAGCTCCCTCACACACACCAGGTCTCCATCTTTAATCTGAAGGAAAGAAATCTGTGACCATTAGTGAAATTTAAAATGTCAAATGGCTGTCGAGGTGATGGTCAACATGAAATACAGTGTAAATACTTAAAATTTAGCTAAGCTTAAGAACCTACGTTCGGGTCAAACCAGTAGATCTCCAGTGTAAAGACATCTATCTCATAGCCTTCCGGAACCTTGAGTACAGACGTCTGCCGGCACTTACACTGGAATGCTGCTGTAGGCACTGCAGATCGCCAGCTGCGCTGTGTAGGCCTTGTTCCTGCACTTCCAGGAGCAGCGTAGCCAGTGATAGCAGAGAGGGCTGCAGGGACATTTCAGCCCATTAAACACAGTGATGATGTAAAGGTGGATGTACTGTATCCACCCGCAAAGCCTGCTTTTCCCCTGTTCTTAGCTTTGGAACATTCGTATGACTGTGACCACCAGCCTATTGTATATGTCACTGGATGTAAAGACGCTGTAAATATGAAGTATTCAAGACGTACAACCTTAATGTGTCAGCACAACCCAATACGTACTAGTGTTGTATGAATTCTGGTATGAATGCTCTGTACTGACAGTATTAGTCAAATGATGACAGTCGATACAAGGAATGGCAGCTGCTGTATGGGACAGAGCCCTCCGCACGGGACAGAGAGAGCCGCACAGCAAGGCCACCCTGAAGCCACCCAGCATCCCCCCCCCCAAAGAATACACCATCTCACCTTCACTTTTGAGAAGATAAAGGAACAGTGACAAGCTTTCAGTTGTGCCTCCAGCCTTTCCATGTTTAATGCTTTTCTTCTAGAGAAAGGAATCGTTTTGTAAATATTAAAATACCATAATGCAGTAAACAGCTGACACAGTGCTAGTAAAAGTCCAAACCACAGCATCCGAGTATTTATGTCATCCTTACATCTCCATGTCCAGATGTTCCAAGATGTACGAGTGATAGAGCCTCAGGAAGCTCATGGCGGTAGGAGCCTTAACTCTCCAGCAGAGCTTCTCCAGGATTATCTTCTCCATCCGTATCATGTCGGAGACTGTGAAGCGGTTCTGGCTGATCCGGATCAGGTCGTGAGCCAGCGGAACATTCCGCTCTTCCTCTGTGGACTTCACAGCGATATAGAAACAGCAGAGTCCAACACAGGACAGGTGTTTCGGCTGGATCTGGGGGGAAAAAAAGTATGATAATGATAATAAAACCATTAAAAAAAACTTACAGCTTCCAGCAACCTACACTGCACTTAGGCAGCTTCAGGCACAGAGAGGTCAGAGGGGGAAACTGCACACAGATATAAATAGACTCTTCTAGGGTGTCGAGCACTACCTTCATCAGAGCAAGAAATCGATCCAGCAGGTTGACAGCAAGGGAGAACGTCTCTGTGCTGAAGCCAAAGAAGCGGGTGAGGGAGAGCAAGTCCTTGACCTCAAAGTCACGCAGCCTGGAGGTCATCCTCAATCCACTGTCATGTGCGGCCTCCAGGACCCTCAGGCCAGACAGCTTGGGCTGATAACGGCTCTCCTGCTCCAGGAGGACCTTAAGCTGCATGGCAAGGGGCACGCCATCTTGTCCTTTCACAGTATCGATCATCTGCAATTCAAAAAAGGACGAAAATCAAAGAGGACCGTTAACATACCGCTCCAGATTTCTGACACTGAGTCGGATTCATAAGCCCCATTTGTAAATGGAGACGAGCGGGGTACATGCGGACGTTTCGTTTACAGTCTGGAGTAAAGATCATAAAGTGAGCAATAAGGGCAACGGTGAATCCTTCCAGCGCGATAACGCCAAGCGCGGCTCAGGCGAGCGGCTGGAAGTGCGCCGCCCCGGAGAAGGGCGACATCTGCGGCACAGGCTGGGAACAAACAAGGGTGCTATGCCTGGGCATGTCCGCGGCTCGGGGAACCCAGCGCCGCTCATACTCACAACTAAAACAGACCGATTTTAAATATAATTCATATATACATGCACATATATATACAGATCGCATGAATTACTCTTTACTTTAACTCTTTAATGTAGTTATACAGTGGCGGTTGTTTTAAGGCGTAAAACGAATACGAACGCGTCCATTTCTATAAGGAAAGCATTTTCAACACATTAATATACTACTACTACTACTACTACTACTAATATTATTATTATTATTATTATTATTATTATTATTATTATTATTATTATTAAGTGCACAATTAAAATACTTACCTTTGTTGGGGGAAAACCGCGATGAAAATGGTGAATTAACCAAATCCTATCAATTATAGATAGTGACTGACTTGGTAGAAGTTATTTAATTTATAAATAAGTAAACACGAAATTAAAAAAGTAATAAAATAAGTGTGCTCTCTTCGAGTTCTAAGCAATCCCTCCGCCCTACCCCTGCACACCCCTTACCCTTGGCGTACAGAACTCCCAGTGCAGACGCATGACTATAAGTAGCATCAAAAACTATGCCCAGCCTGAGAAAGATGTCATTGGTTACGGATGAAACACGCCCTCTATTCCTGGACGATCATTGGTTCATCAATCTATCAATCATCAGGTAAGCGCCACCTCTCGAACCGGAATGTGCGAGAGCGTGGCCTATCACGTGCGCAGACCCAAAGCGGACTGAGGTGGCGCAAAGCTGTGGGGTGTCGTAATTATTAAAGCCTGTCAGGTTTTTGGCGAGTACATCTTTAGTTTTCTACCCGTCTTTTGTCGAAACCATCTCACAATTGACTTGTAACTGTTGTTTTACCCTATATAATACATATCGTTCACACATTATATTCTGGCCGCACTAATACCTGCATGTGCGTCAGATGTTTGTCTGTTAATGTTAGGGGCTAAGTTAGCATTCTACGGCACAAACGTTCGTCATTTATTTATTTTAAATCTCAGTATATCTTTTTAAAATGTAGAGCAACTACATTCTGTTTTGATTTTCAGGCCATAACACAGATGCAGGCATAAAGGGATCCCAACAGTGCCATCGTTTTGGTGGCTTTTGCGTTACTTTTTAGACTACCAGTGAAAAGAACAAAGTGTGTAAATAAAACAGGACGAATGATTTAGCAAATAAACTGTTTGGATTGTGGTGAAATAGCAATTGATGTAGATATTTTAGGAATTAATCATTTGGCTGTTCTCTACTTATTCAACATATACACTCTGGGCAGAAAACGAGGATGTAGTTGGCTACTTATTCGCAGCTCCTTATTCGGATTTTCCGATCCACCTTAAATGCTTCGCAGCCCAATGCAATGACACGATTGTACCTATAGGGGGACTGTCTTAGTACCATAAACCTCTCTGTACCAGGCAAATATCAACTTCTCAGTACGCGGAACGTATCCAACTATATAGAAAAGGTGACATTGTCCTGGCCCAGACTGATTTACTGCTCTAAAAATCAGATGGAAACAAGGGATGTCATACTATAAGGCACAAAGGTGTGAATGAGAAGCCAGGTTTCCAGATTTTGAGTATTATATAATTGTACGATATATTTGTATAACATTACTATTTAAGACAGTGAAGTTAACTAAACTTTGAAGCAGATTACTTACATTACTCAAACAGGTTAAATTACAACTTAAAAGTATCTGAAACACTGCTTAATTCCAGTAATGTAAGTAGTTCTAATTCGTTACATCCACTCCCTATACACAGAAAAAATATTTCTTACAATTAAATTATAAGAAATAATTTTCCATCAAACTAAATTGTATAAATACAAATAATATTAATAATTTAATATGCACATTGATTCACAAAATTTTAATTGTTCAAGCACTAAAGTTAACAAGTTGATTCAAATAAATCTTAATAAACCTAGACACTTAAGCAAGCTGTCTTCATAATTGAAGCTTATACATTAAATTAATTTGTGATTTATGAAGACAGCTTGTTTAAGTCTCATTCACACATCTGTGCGCTATAGTATGACAATCCTTGCTTTCATCTGATTTTTAGAGCAGTAAATCAGTCTGGGCCAGGACAATGTCACCTTTTCTATATAGTTGGATACCTGCCGCGTACTGAGAAGTTGATATTTGCCTGGTACAGAGAGGTTTATGGTACTAAGACAGTCCCCCTACAGGTACAACGCGTCATTGCATTGGGCTGCGAAGCATTTAAGGTGGACCGGAAAATCCGAATAAGGAGCTGCGAATAAAGAAGCCAACTTCAGCCTAGTGGTCAAAAAGCGGGCCAAACCCAAATGACACACCATTAAGCTTAGGCTCATTTTTGCCCAGAAGCGTACATTAACATTCGCTTCGTGCGATTACGCGCGTTAAATACAGCTTTATGTACGGAGCTTTGATTGCAGACGTGAAGCGGCTTTCGCGTCGCCTCTTTGTGTCGGCGGAGGAGGGGCCGGGCCCTTTAAAGGCGGAGGAGGGGCCGGGCCCTTTAAAGGTGCGCCTGCCGGATCCCCGCAGCTTCTCCGTCTGTCACCGGACTGTCCCTGCTCGTTTTTCTTATATTTGTCGTTTTTTAAAATTTATTAATGCAAGCTTTTGTACAAATGACTGGCGTTTTATTACGCCATGTTTTTTCTTTTTAAACGTTTCGCAAAAAGATACTCAACGACCTTTTTTTATTAAGACATCGACAAAGAGTGACTTTGCTTGTATGAGCTTGTTATTAATAGCTGGTAATATCTAAATGGGTGAATGAAGATATAAAAAGTCGAAAAATGCTGACTGCGTTTTGAGTTTCATCCCTCCTTTTTAATACGGAGTGGTAAGGCTGGCCATTCTTTATTTTACAGCTGCAAACGTTTTCTTAAATAGACCAACACAGATCCCATCCTGTAGCCTCCGGTGTTTGTAGGTAAATGGGTAAATCGCGTTTCTTTAAGTATAAATCGATGGCACATAATCACATATACTATAATACTACTATACGGGGATCATATACTACAGTATTTAGTAATAAGATTAAAGTTAGTTGTATTTCTCCTCTGGTAGAACTAGCCACCAAAAAGCGATTAACTGTCGTTGTTGTAGTATTACTTATTTAGCTGATGCAATTTGTCATTTTCTTACGCCAGGAGAATTGGATTGACAGGCTAAAATGTGATTGGTTTTAAGTTTTGTCCTAAACAAACTTGTAGTTTCATTTCAAAGTGTAATTTCAAAACAAACACACACAGAGCGCTTCCGTGTCAAGTCCATATATGAAATAAACAATTTCCTATTATATAACGTAGGGCATTATATTTAGCTAGTTGAGTACAAGAGTGTATTTAATTAACTTAGGTTTTGCTTCACTGAACTTTGATGCAGCGCAATTAAAGGGGAAATTTTACTGAAAAGGAAAACATTCGAACAATAAAATTCATGCTTCTGAGATGTCAGAGAATCGACTTTTCCCGTTTACATCGGCCGTCATTACAGGCTCGGCGTGACACTGTGGCTGATCTGTGGCCCTTTTATCCACGGCAGGTGTCCATGTCCCGCGGCTCTGCCGGCGGCCGGGGGCCCCTGCGCGTGCTGGGCGCCGCCGTCGCCCGGGAAGCGCGCCTCTGGAAAGCGCCCGTCTTCAGAAACGGCAGAATTCAAGTAATGCCTCCGACAGTCCCGGTGAAATACTGTGTGCTGCACCAGCCTGGTCGCTTCTCCTTACTTATCCTTTTGTTGTTTTTAACAGGGTACGGACATATCGGCATTTCAGCAGGAGGACGCTATTACATGGCTTGGGAACCTTTGTCGGTTATTAAAGTTTTGCCCTGAAACATTTGCTCTCGCTGTAAGCATTTTGAACAGACTGTTGGCATCAGTCAAGGTAACATGACTTAATATTCACGTTCTGGCGCATGCGGTTTACTAATCTCCCGGAATCCATTCAGTATTTCTGTATACGTTTCTTTTGCAGGCACACCCAAAATATCTCCGCTGCATTGCCATCACCTCCCTGATTCTTGCTGCAAAAGTTAACGAGGAAGACGAGGTAATCACATGTTATCTCTGATTTTGCTTGCGCAAGCGTACATTCATAGTTTTGCATGGTATCGAGTCATTTTTATTGTTTTTGTTTTATGAAATTGAAGGGGGTAACACTGGCGCTAAATTGTCAGTCAGCCTAATTGAAAACAATGCAAACATTTATCACAGTACAAGGTGCAGAGCAAATGGTCATTTATTGGATTTTCTTTCTTTTTTTTGAAACAGGTGATTGTGTCTGTGAAGGAGCTTGTGTCACAGAGTGCCTTTCAGTTTTCGGCAGCTGAGATATTTCGAATGGAGCGGATCATTTTAGATAAGCTCCAGTGGGACCTTTACACCTCCACGGCGCTCGACTTCGTCCATATCGTAAGTATCTACTGCAGACGCTCAGCTGCACCTTCAGAGCCATCGGTCCCTTTAGCTTAGCATCTGTCGCCGAGTTTGACACCTCCACAGGAAGTTTAACGGCGTCACACAACCATTCTGAGCTCCGTCACTGGTGGTGAAATTGGCCCATGTGACGCGGCCGTGGGGAATACAGTGGATTAGCACTGTGCTTGGAAGGTTAAGGCACTTAATGGCTCCAGCAGAATGTAAGCCTGATACTGTACATGGGCAGGAATGCTCATTTGTCTTTCCTTACAGAACACTTAAAATACGCATAATCTTTCCTGATAAACTTTATACATATTCAGTATATATTCAGTGAAAATCCTACAACCATTTATAACTGGTACTCAAGCACAGATTCACAGGACATTCCAGCATCTACTAAACCACATTCACAGCATTTAACAGCTCGGGCCTTTGTGAAATACTGAAATATCTGAAGTTACAAAAATATTCCTGGGTGTCGGGTCACATTTTGCAAAGATGTTTCAGTAGCACTACAATTGCAGCATCCAGTGGAATGTTTGTTTGCAGAAACCCCATCCGTTCGTTTCAGATTGCAAAACTAATTCTAATTCCTCGTGATCCTAAGTGTGAAGCAGCTGTAAGTGCTACTCGAATATATATTTATGAATATGCAGTAACTTCACACACAACCTCACTCACTTATTTTTGTTGTCATCTTTATGTTAAGTGATTAATGTCACACCCATATCACCGTTGCCCCAACCTGATTTGTTTATAAATCATGTTTCTAGAAACTGAACAAACGTTCCATGGTTCCACCCACTAACGTCTGTAAATAAAGTGACACCAAGGACTTCAAAAGATTAGAATGATTAGAAAATGTGAAACACGAGAACATTGTGAATCAAGTGTAGCAAAGGTCAGGAACCGCAGCTACCTGGAGCTCGAACGAAATGAGGGTTTTGTTCAGTTCGTACAACGTTAAGATGAACGTGCAGAGCAGGTTGGCAGAAGGATGAGCATGTCACATGAGGATGGGGTCGGTGGAGATGTCCTCCAGTGTCCATGGCGAGTGGGTGGGGAAGCTGACCGGCTTTCTGTTTCCATTGTGACGCTTGCAGTTCCATGCTCTGGTGCTGTCCGGCCACCCACATCTGCCCCAGCTGTGTGCTCAGAAGGAGCCTTGCCCCCAGGTGGCGCTGTGGAGCAGACAGGTGCAGCACTGTATGGCCTGCCACCAGCTGTCACAGTTTAAAGGCTCCACACTGGCCTTGGCGATCATTACCTTGGAGGCGGGGAGGCTCACTCCTGACTGGTTCTCTGTTTTTACAGATCTGCTAAAGAAAGCACAGGTAGGCGGGCGTCTTAAATGTCAGGGTTCTAACATAACCTAGATCAGTGATTCTCAAGCCGGTCCTCGGGGAGCCCGAGGCAGTCCGTGTTTTTGCACCCTCGGGGAGCTGGGAGGGAGCAAGAACATGGACTGTCCGTGGGTCCGAGGATTGGGTTGAAAAATGCTTCTCTGGGTTCTTCACGTTAAAAGATGGTTAGATGCGAGTGATGAGTCAATGGATGAAAATACACCGTTCTTATTCGAAATCCCCCTTTTTCTGCCCAAGATTGACAGCACGGAGCTTATCCGCTGCAGGGAAATGGTGGAGCAGCGCCTGCACCTCAGAGGTTCCCTCAAACCCAGCGTGGTGTACATCTTTGACCCCACCTCCATAACGTACTTTCAGAACAGCAGCTCGCAAATTTCCCATCCACTTGTGGCTGAGCCCACTTTGCTGCAAGCGGATGCCATGGAGGGCGAGGACGATGTCTGCGATGGGTTCGGGTGCCTGTACAGTGAGGGGCTGGCACTGGAGGTGCGGGAGAGCCACAGCGCTCACTCTGCCACTATGGAGGGCTGCCCCCCCCTTCAGCCACCTGACTGCTAGTGAATCCGGGGAGGGGGTGGTGCAGCACACTGCCAGCAATTCAAAACTGAGCCAGTTACTCACATGGGGGACCTCCTCTCTGCTTAATTATTTAATACTTTTAGGTGTTACTCTCTTCAGGTAAAAATACTGTACATCCCACTCCTGTTTCTTCTAGACAGAAAAGTTGCACTATTTATAAAAAAAAAAAAAAAAAAAAAATCTGGGCAAAACTTGTAATGTAAGTTTAATTTCTTAGACAGGAGTCACTTCATTAATCCCGGAGGAGGAAACTAGGGTGATTTTTATGAATAATTTAGATCTTGCAAAAAATGAGAAACTTAAGTTGCCCAATGATGTTGAGGGTTTTATTATTGTGTTATGTTTGAAATGTTTCTCTTCATAATGCAGTGGGTAGACATGCAAGAGGGTCTAAGAATGAGTACAATCTTTTGGTAACATTTAAGGGTGGCCATGGAACGGAATGTGAACGTCTTTGTAAATCTAAAACTATTTATACTTTGTAATAATAGTTTTTTTTTTTTTTATTTAAGCAAGGGACCCAAAACTGCAGAGGCACTTTTTCTATTTTTGTCATACTGTGAAAGACTGTGGCCAAAACTGAGTAAAAGTATTTGCTATATTTCATGTCTGTGTTTTATTTATTTTTTTAAACTTTAGCCGTCATGGTATCTGACTGAAGGTCACACAGGTGACAGCTGGGGGTTCCTTAGTCAGCAAAGCTTTTTTATTCTATAATTTTTACTGTTATGAGTGATGCAAAAACCCAGATGCAAGCTAAGGGTTGTTTATTTTTAAAAACATAGGCTTTATTGTTGGCAAGCAAATACAAATATGTACCATACGTAAACTATTCATAGCAATTTGGGGATATCAATTTCAAAATTCATGTTTTTTTTATAAATAAGTGTATATCTTTTCTAACTGCTAGTTGGTTTATAAATATTCCTGATGAATAATGCATTTACAATCCAAAAATGACACATTTGGCACAACACGGGCACATCTGGGAAGGAGTGAAAATGAAAAACCAACATGTAAGTGTATATACAAACGCCAACGGCCTCCTGCAGGGCGGCGATAGCGTGCCTTACCACGAAACCTTGTGACCAGTGGCGTCTACAGGCACAATGACAGTGTAGATATGAAAAAATGACCAACCCATATAACTGCAGCTTACCGGTTACAATGACAGAAGCATGTGTCAAGCAAGCGTGGAGCTGACGTCACGCAGGAAGTCATGACGTCAAGCACCAGCGTGGAGCGGTGGGAGACAGTGGGCTGGGCTACGGTGCTGGGGGCAACCGGAGGCTCGCAGGTACCTCGAGCTCCAAGCCGACATTCCTCTCACACCCTACACCCCCTCATGAACATCACACCATGTAAAGTGCTGAATATATAACAATCTCAAGTGTGACAAGAGCCAAAGTCACTCCTCTGCTTGTGGTGGTTGAGGGGGCGTGGATTTGGGCTTTTAAAAATCTTCTAATTTAAATTCCTTCCTGAGGGTAAGGAGCATGAGCTTGGAAGACTAAAGAAGCTACAGGGGGAAGAAGAAAGCAGAACATCAGGTGACTGGCCAGGGAAGGGAACACGGTGGCCATGATACCGCTGCTGTGCTATTACAGGACAACCCACCGGCACAATCGGCAGCATTTGTTGTAGGACTGGATGCTAAACAAACTGTCGGGCAACAAATCCCTGACACAGGTCTGCATTTTTAAATGAGAAACTGCTGATCTTTCACACAAGTAGTGACTGTGGCGTTTGATTCTTTTTTGAATAGGCCCTGCTTGAGCAAGTAAAGGTCACTAGTGCAACAGAACAAAGACAGCCATTCATTTAATAAAGGAAGGATTTTCTCATGTAGCCTGTAATCTTCTGTTTATTTTTTAGGAATGTTAGGAAGCTTGTCTGAAAGCTGTACCAACTGTGATTCTAACGGGCAGAAATACAGGATTATTGCCGCGCTAATTCTCACGAAACCATTCCTAACCATATGCAGTTTCCAGAAAAACAATAATATACCAGCTTACATAACACAAGTTCAGTCTTCTTTATCGGTCTAAAAGTATGAATAAATTAATTTTGCTAATATTTATGTATGCTTACTATTATTAAGAAAAACCTTTGAGATGGAATAACGCAAACAGGGCTACAAAATAGCAGCAGAGCCGTTTCATCCCGTTAATACTGATGTTCTGTGTTAATAACATGTTGGTCTTTTAACATTAGTATGGCTTGACAGTAAACGTGGCAAAAATCTGAAACAAGTTCTTTATCACCCATATCCATCCATCCATCACCACCCGCTTGTCCGGGGTTCGGGTCGCGGGGGTAGCAGCTTCAGGAGAGATACCCAGACCCCCCTCTCCCCAGCTACCTCTATCAGCTCTTTGGGGGGGGGGGGTGCCGAGGCGTCCCCAGGCCAATCGAGAAGCGTTACTGAGAAGTGTGTCGAGTAGTTACTCTGCTGCACCTCTGGTGGTTCTGCCCCAAGGAGCCCCGGGGCCTCTGCTCGTGTTTACTGCCCTCAAACATCCGCACTCTGGCTTTACTGTCCGTGTACCTTCTTAAAATATCTGGATTTTTCACAAACGTGAAACAGAACCCCACAGATCACAAGGAAGTGTACATACCCACAGGACTATAAATATATATCCATGCATAAAGACACGCATTGCAAATTCCACTGCAGCCCTCTTTTTGTGCTTCGCCGAGGAACGGCACGCTTGCCTGCTTATGAACAGGAGGCTGCCCAGGAGCGGATGGCTCTGGGCCTCACTGTAAGCTTTTTCACGGGGCTTTGCAGAGAACCCTTGTTTGTCCTCTTTCAAATCACCATATGTGCATTTGTGATTAAGGAGCAGAGAGAGGGGATGGGAGCTTCCACACATTCCCTAAGCTGCCGGGAAGCAGCACCACTTTTAGCCCATTCTTTCTGTCCTGCATTCCACCTTAGAGTTACAGACCACTTGTTTATGTTTGTTAGCCATCATTTCATATCATGTAATATTTAAGTATATATAGAGGGATCCTGTTACAGAGCTGCTTTACATGGAAAAGGGAGTAATAAAACACACCGAGATAATAAGGAAATGATTATTACCTATAATTACACATCATAAGGGATTAATCAATGAATTTGACAAAGACAGGACAAAATGTACCTGTGACCCTAACAAAGATAAGAGTTTGGAGCAATGTTTCCGATCTGGCCCTTGGGGACCCACAGACTGTCTGGCAGGGAGCTGGGAGGGAGCAAAAATGTGGACCGTCTGGGGGTGACTGAGGACCGGATTGGGAAACACTGGCTTAGAGAATGGATGGATGGATGGATGGATGGATGGATGGACACACCACTGACCCAATTCTGAAGTGAATGTCAGCTTCAGTGATACCAGCTTCTTATCTAGTACAGAACTGTGATTTTTCTAACTTTATCTTCAGTAAAAATGCCTTCAGTTGTTCCTAGTTTAAAGATACTCTATATCCTAACCCAAGACGTGTTCAGCATTTCTCCTTTCATTTGACTCTGTAAAGTCATATTTATTATGTACTATGAATGTAAATATTAAAGAAAGTCTAATTGTAACACCTATACACATTCTACCTGAAACTACATTCTTAAGATACAAACACACACACGCAAATCTGGAATTAATATAAAACAGCAATGGATTCATTAATGTATTCAGAATTTCAGTGATAACTATGTTTCTGCAACTATAAATATACATGTAATATACCTTTTAAATAGACAAAGTTACATGAAGGTAGTTCAGACTCAGTATGGCTCAGACAATATTTCATACTGTACAAAGGAAGCTTTCTAACGCTACTTTAGTGCTAATCTACACACAGTACGTTAAATAGCAAACTCAGCTTACCTGCAGGAACGCACTGACACACTTATTTTGCATAGATTTTTTCCCTTCTGATCCGCGATCGTAAATCAATCTTGGAAATAAAACGTAGTATTTAAAAGTCCTGCATGTTTGACAACCTGGCTGATGTAAAAAAAAGCAATAATAATAATAATAATAGTAATAATAAATACAAATAAAAAGTAAGGCTGTTAAATTACTCCACAGTCCACTGTTCCCTGTCCATCATGGTCTTTGGTCCACAAACACAATGTCATGAGGTCACAACAGAAAAACGGTGAAAACGGCTTTACGTCGCTATGGTGATGGAAGACAAATCTGCAGCTGGCCTGGACTGGCTGTTCCCACATATTAACTGAAAGAAAAAAAATGACACAAAAATGACAAGACAAACAAACCAATGAACACGAATGAAAGCAAAGACACCCATGTGTGAACTGAAGTTTTTAGACGGCACGGAAATGGATGGAGGTCTCGTCACTTTAAACAGAATGAAGTTGTCTTAAGGCGACCATGAAAGACACCAATGAAAGGTGAACATGATGTCGTGAGGCGCACAGTGCTGTACAGGTACCTGAAATGAAACCGAATGCTCAACAGAATAATAGAATTACATAGCTACTGAATACACTGTCAGGCAGAATCTTACTTTGTTTTCTACTAGAGCGTAATTTTAAGCAATGCAAGAAAAAGAGGATTCCTGCAGGGTTTCTGATGGTAAATGTAAGTGGCCTTATTCACCAGCCTGTTCACTAAAACCCACGTTGAGGCCCTTGCTTCTCTAAACCCTGAAACACCTCCCCACAGGGCGCTCGCTTCATACTCTCGATTCATTATCTTTCCTACTTTCTCGGGCTGTTCCCAATCCCTCAGCTCTATCAGAGTGTTTCCACCCTTATCCGGTCAGCAGCCACGTTAGAGACAAGCGCTGCAGCCTCCACCTCAGACGCCGCTATTACATTATGTCCAGGCCCAGAATAGACAATCCCTGCCGTGTCCAGGCCAGGAGCATAATATCAGGCTGCCTCACCAGCACCTTCCTGCCAACATCCCACTGGGCAGAGCTGTGCTCACTTCCCGTCCTGCTATCCTACTACCACCAAGACAGAATGCAGAGAGGGACAGAGACAGAGAGAGAGAGAGAGAGAGAGAGAGACAGGGGGAAACAGACAGAGAGAGAGAGAGAGAGAGAGAGAGACAGGGGGAAACAGACAGAGACACAGAGAGAGACGGGGGAAACAGACAGAGACACAGAGAGAGAGAGAGAGAGAGAGAGAGAGAGACGGGGAAACAGACAGAGAGAGAGAGAGAGACGGGGAAACAGACAGAGAGAGAGAGAGAGACGGGGAAACAGACAGAGAGACAGAGACAGTAAGAGAGACAGAGAGAGAGAGAGAAACAGACAGAGATAAAGACAGAGAGAGAAGGTGAGAGAGAGAGAGACTGTCCTTACTTTTTCTTGTCCTTGTCCTTCTTGAGGGGCTGCTGTGAGGATCCTTGCAGTGACTGAGCCTGTAAGGTCTCTGCTGCCATCTTCTTCCTGTTGAAGGCGTTCAGGTCGTCCTCCAGGTCCCGCCGCTTCTCCTCCATCTTCTTCTTCTCCTCCTGGTGCAGCCGCTTAAGCTGCTCGAACTTGTCATGCAGCTGAAGAGGTTGTATACAATCGCAGGGCTTAGCTTAGGTCACCTGACACTCGCTTGGTGTGCCGATGACGTGTGCCGTTGACGTGTGCCTTTGACGTGTGCCTTTGAAGTGTGCCGTTGACGTGTGCCTTTGACGTGTGCCTTTGACGTGAGCCGTTGACGTGTGCCGTTGACGTGTGCCGTTGGCGTGTGCCTTTGACATGTGCCCACGCACTGGGCCAGTCAGCGGTTACCAGACAGCTTCTGATAACCACTCAGTGAGGCATGGTGCAGTTCCTCATTGCAAACATGAAGTCAGACTTCACATGCTTTTCATTTACAGCCTGTTAGCCTTTGGTAAGCCAGTGTTATTTACTGCTATGCTGCTGCTGGAGAGCTTCAGCATAACATCAGGGCACAGGAAGCCCACAAACAGCCTTCACACACACAGATCTCGCCAGCGTCCTGAGGGGACGGCTCCTGTTTACCTCTCTCTCCTTCTCCTTCAGCTCCGCTTCTGTTTCCTTCACCTTACTGACGAACATCTGCCTCATCTCTTCCTCCTTGCGCTGGAGATCCCCAAGGAACTCCTTCCTTTTGGCCTCGTACGTCTCCTGTAGGCTGCGGGTGAAAAGTCCACACTGTGTCTCTCCCACCGTCTTCACCATACAAACTACGGCCTTTGGATAATGGTCTTAAATGCTCTCATTTGCATACTGCCTGCTGACACCTGTGGGACGCGATGACAGCCAGTCCTGATGGACTCACCTGAAGGGTTTGCTGTCAGGGTCCGTGTCCTTGAAGCCCATCTCCTCCAGCTTGCAGCGGCGGTACAGCTCGTAGTGCCGTACGTGCGTTTGCTCGCGCAGGTCCTCCATGTTCACGCGGAGCAGCATCTCTCTCAGCTTAACAAAGTCGCAGTGGCTCTCGTTTTCCACTGGCAGAAAACACAGTGACACAGCTGAAACGCAGTTCGCCCCAAAGGAAAATGGGCTGAGCACAGATGAGCTCCTTTAATCTGAGCGATACCTTCAGCTTGATCCACCGGAGACAAAGAGCAAAGAGGCCTTCAGGCCTTCACACACTTTCATTGTACATATTTTTACAACTATTGATCTCCTGCTTTCTGTTTTTATTATCTTTTTTGTAGTCATTTTATTTTTAATTTATTTATTGTTATTCTTTCTTATTTATTCTTCTCTTTTTATAGTATTTTGTATTGCATATTTCCTTTAAAGCACAATCTGTGAAGCATGTAGGTAAAGCATTTCACTACACAGTAGTACAGTGCATGACTGTGTATCTGACAAACAGAACTTGAAGCTCGTACCTAAGGATGCAATATACAAGAGAGACCATATGGACAGTACAGGAGCTCATATACACCTCCCTGGGGTCTGGATCCTGTCCCAGGCAACACAGGGCACAGGCCTGGGGCTCACCGTGGACAAGATGCCAGTCCTTCACAGGGCACAGGCCTGGGGTTCACCGTGGACAAGATGCCAGTCCTTCACTGGGCACAGGCCAATAGCTCACCCTGGACAAGATGCCAGTCTTCTCACCCTGGACAGGATGCCAGTCCTTCACAGGGCACAGGCCAATAGCTAACCCTGGACAAGATGCCAGTCTTTCACAGGGCACAGGCAAATAGCTCACCCTGGACAAGATGCCAGTCTTCTCACCCTGGACAGGATGCCAGTCCTTCACTGGGCACAAGCCAATAGCTCACCCTGGACAGGATGCCAGTCCTTCACTGGGCACAGGCCAATAGCTCACCCTGGACAAGATGCCAGTCTTTCACAGGGCACAGGCCAATAGCTCACCCTGGACAAGATGCCAGTCTTTCACAGGGCACAGGCCAATAGCTCACCCTGGACAAGATGCCAGTCTTTCACAGGGCACAGGCCAATAGCTCACCCTGGACAAGATG